TCATCTTGGAGTCAATAATGACTCCAAGATCCCTTTCCGCCTCTGTGCTTTCAAGAAGGGAACTCCCCAGCCTGTATGTATGCTGTGGATTCCTTCTCCCAAGGTGCAGCACCCTGCATTTGTTTACGTTGAACCCCATCCTATTCTCATCTGCCCACTTTTGTAGTCTGTCTAAATCTAGTTGCAGCCTCTCTCTCCCTTCAAATGTGTCCACCTTGCCCCACATCTTAGTGTCATCAGCAAATTTGCACAGCATGCTTTCCACCCCCTCGTCCAAGTCACTGATGAAAATGTTAAACAGTGCGGGCCCGAGGACCGAGCCCTGGGTTACCCCACTGCTCACATCTCGCCAGGTTGAGTACAACCCGTCCACCACTACTCTCTGGGTGCGCCCCATCAGCTAATTTTTACCCATCCAACTGTGCAGGCATCAATGCCACAGTCGCTTAATTTATTGATGAGGATGGGGTGAGAGACGGTGTCAAAGGCCCATGCTTCCGGACTTTTGCTGATTGTAGGAACCAGAAAGGAATATTTTTCCCTTCATGAATGCTCCTGGCTGAAAGGTATTGCTCTTCTGCTCAGGGTTACACCAACAATTGCTACATTTGGGGTCAGGAAGGAATTTTCTTCCAACGAAAGGCTGCACAGTAGCAGCAGGTCACCACTACTGACATCAGGGCAGTGCCAGAAGGCAGCAGGACATCAACCCCTTGCTTTTTCCAGCAGCTGGCTGAGCCCTGGACCTGGAAGGCAGACGTGTCATGGGCAGGAGACACAATGATTGCTTTTGCAACCCCTTCAGGCTGCTCTGGTAGCAAAAGTTTTGGAGGGTCCCGGGGGATCTCCAGTTCACCTGGTCCCACCTTCTCCCAACACACATCACTGCTCTGAAAACAGAATGGAGCAGTCCCTGAAAATGGTGCCAGAGCGAGCTGAAAGCTACCTTTGTCTTGGCCCATCCCCCATTCCTGGGCTCCAAACTCAGTAAGGGCCTGGACAGGTTTCTGGGCTCCAAACCAGGCAGCTTGACTAGCACAGGAGGAAGTACATAGCTAGCTCCACACTAAGGTAGTAAAGATGTAAGCAGTGCCCCTCCCCACCCTCATCCATCAGGGCTAGGGTAGGAGCAAGAGGAAGCAGGGGGCCCCTTATACTCAGGATCCCATGGCTATAACCAGAGCCTGATTCCCCTTACACATCTGCTAAGGCCAAGCTTTGTAGGTTTCGGCAGAAGGATGGGGTGCAGGAGCGTGGGGGTGGCGGCTGGCTGGGCAATTGGCTAGGTACTGAGCTCCACTGTAACACAGTCGTGGGGGTGCCATGGGCCTTTCCCCATGTGCAGATTATAGCTGGGGCACAGGTCTATGCCAGCCACTCCTGACGGGTCCCCTCCCTTTTCCTGGTCCTCTTTTGCCCAAGTAGCTCTGGACACAGCATCGAGCTGGCCCAGGCTGCCCCACCTCCCTGCACTCGGCACTGCCAGGGTGCAAAGCAGGGACCTGTGGCTGTCTCAGGGAAGGGCATTGTGCCTGACTGATCTCAGCTGGGTGCTTGTGGCTGACTGCATCCTCTTCTGTGCTTGCAGCTTCCACTTCCAGCCACAGCAACGCAGAATGGCGTGTGCTGGCACGGGAGAGCAGGAACTCAAACTGGTCAGACAAACAGCAGGGAAAGTCCAGCCTAGATTGCCTCACGCTCCCCCCTCCCTCTCCCCCCAGCTGCAGCTCTGGCAGTCCCTGCTCCCCGGTTTCGTTTCTGGCAGTCTGGAAAGCGAAACCTAGGGGCTGTGAAACTGAACCCATGCTTATCGTGCTGCTGTAAAAAAAAACACAACACTGCTTAAGGTGGCCGTGGGAATGCAGCCAGTACCGTGAAACCGGTCCTGTGCTCTGGGGCCCTTCCCGCCGCCTGCTCAGCACAGCACCCTCAGCTCCTGCAGCACCGGGGCTTGCAAGACTGCCCTGTGCAGGGCAAGAGGGGATGGGCAGGACGCAGTCCTGGGCAGGGCGGAAGCTCAGCACCCCATCAGCAGCCCTGTAGGTGCCAGCCCTGGGTCTGCCTGGCTGGCACCTGACCATGGAGCCCTGGGGAGGGGGCATCTCCCTGACCGCAGCCAGCCCCGGTGACCCCGCTGCAGCTCAGAGCTTCATGAAGAGGCCACAGAGTGACATGAAGATGACTCGGGGCACAGGGTCTACTGTCCTGCACAGCACTCGGCTTAGGGACAGGGCTGGGAAGTGTCACATTCTCCAGCATCTGGGTCAGGGGCTGGAATGGGGGACAGAGCCCATGGGCAGGGCCTGGTAGGAGCCCCTGCAGGTACGGATGGGGGAAGAAGACTTGGCTGCCCTGCCATGCTGGGAGTGCGGGGCGGCAGTGCCCAGGCTTTCGTACTGGCCCCAGCCCCCAGCGCAGGAACCCAGTCCACCTTAATATCCTCCACGTGACGCCATCTGTGAGGGAGACGTCAGCAGGGCAGGGCTGTGCCGGGATCCTTAAAAAGCAGCAGCCTCAAGGGGCTAGAGAGGCAGTAGAGATGGAGCTGTACCAGGTGCGAGCCAGGGACCTGGATGCCTGGATTGCAGACAACCTGCAGCCCAGCGAGGAGTTCCAGCAGCAGGTGAAGGATACGGTCCGGAGGATCTGTGACTTCCTGAAGGAGCAGTGCTTTGAAGACATCAAGGTGGACAAGACAGTGAAGGTGAGGTCTCTAGACCCTCACCTACCCAGGTCCGGCCAGGGAAGGAAAGGTTGTCAGGGAGAAAGGGAGGGAGCTGTTGGCTTGGTTTTGCTGGAAGAGGTGGGTCCAGAGACTCACCAGTTAAACCTGGTTTGAGGTCCGAGATACCTCAGCCAGGACAGGCCAAGGGACGGGGTCAAAGCGGTGCTGGCACGCCATGCGGCAGGCCGAACAGACCTGATCCAAGCTTATTCCAGGCCCTCTCCAGGGAGAACATACCACTTAGTCTCGTAGTCCGCCCACAAGCCCGTAGCGGGGAAGAAGGGCTCAGTTCTGGCACTGAGTTTTGGCTCTGAGTGCTGCCAAAAGGCTTTGCTTTTCCTGCTTTGGAGAGGACAGACACAAGGAGGGAGGAGGGCAGAGGGAGGAAAATGCAGCGCTGGGTGGTGGGTTGCTGCGGCAGGGTGGGGGCGGGCGGCTGGCTCATCACTCCCGCCCTGGAGACCCCCTGGGCTGCTCTGGGAAGGTCCCGTCCCCTCCCTGGTTTACACGGGGGCGGGCAGAGCTGGCTTGGCTGACTCGGCACCCGGGCAGGATGAAATGGAAGAGGAGGGTGAGTGAGCAGGCTGAGACCGGAGGAAAGGCAGAACGGGGAGCTCTTCTGCAAGCGGTCGAGGTCCTCGCTGTCCCAGCAACTCCTG